TGGGGGGGGGAGGGGAGGGGGCGGGGCGAGGCGAGTCTTCAGCGACGCGCCATAAGTGGCGTGGCGCTTACTGGCAGGAGGGCGGGCAGGTGGCAGTAACGACGGCGTGCTGCCCGCTGCCGCCCATCGACGCGGCCGTGGCAGCATGACGACGCCGCCAGAGCGCGGCGTCGACGTTGTGGTGGCACGCCGACGCTGCAACGGCAGCAAGGTGACGCTGCCACGGCAAAGCGTCGACGCCACCACGGCAGGGCGTCGTGGAGGCGACGGCCGCACGACGAAGCCGCCATGACAGGCCGGCATGGCCGCCACGGCGGGAAGGCAGTGACGAGAGAAATGCGCGGCGGAAGCGACGGCACGACAGCGCGACGCCACAGCAGTGCGTCGAGACGGCCGCGGCACGACGCGGCCAGCGGCACGACACGAGCGCCATGGTAGCGCGAGAAGCGTGAGTAGGCGGTCCAGCAGGAAGGATCTCCTGCTCTGATACCATAACAAAGAAGCTTATGACACTAACTAAACTTAGGAACCTAGCTTAGCTAGAAACCAAGGAAGGACGCCATGGAATGGCGTGAGGAAACTCGATCTAGGAGCGGGGGAGAGAAGTTGACGAGAAAGAAAGGGGTCTCGATTAGGAAGAGAGAGGAGTACAAGGAGGGGTTTGTACCCTCTACAGAAAGGTTCAGTAACAACCTACCAAGCCTATATTAAATTATAACTTATATAATTTTAACACAACTCACTAGTGTATATTGCCTTGTATCTCCCCATTCTAGTCCATTATTCATTCTGATAAAATCTGCGTTGCGCTTAGAAATAATATTCGCGCGCTTAAAGCGAGAGGTTATAATAGTGACCCATCGTTCTAGTTGGGCTCAACTTGATTGGGACCCTCGAACAGATATAGGGGGGACAAGCGAGCGGGCAGAAGAAAACGTCGTTTCAGGGCGGACAGTCACTCAGCAGCAAAAGCACCTACCCGCGCGACAAATTTGAATATGTGGACGCGGGCGTGTTTATAAATATAATACTAGCTAGCACGCCTCGTTGGGGCTGGTTTGTTACCGTATTTTGTTGACCTCGATTGGTTGCGGTTCAGTCAAACTCAAAAGGGTGGACACGAAATGGGAAAAGTGTTGTTGGTGAGTGGTCGAAGTAAACAACCCTTGATTTGTTAGCTCTGGGTGGGGAGAAATTTCGACCAATCGGAAATGCAGTTGTGTTCTTGCATGAGTAGTGAACCCAGGTCCAATTTAAAAATCAAGTTGGGCCCACTTGGAGAATGACGAGGCAATGGGGTCGCACAAGAACCTGCGACCTGTGACAGCTCGCAAACCCAGTCCTACAAATCTCCCAGCCAATCGTGTGCTCGCGCCTGCTCGCTCTGAACAGCTTGCCTGCGTTGTGGAACTGCCCTGGTTCTGCCGAGTGAGGCTAACAACCCCTTAGAAAAAATCGAGGGTCCCTTGGTTTCAAGCTGGACCCGCCTTCACTATTTTAGCCCCTCGCTTTAAAGCGAGCGAACTGAATATACTTTCGAAGTACTTCGAATCTAGAGTTCAGATGGGCGTATTTGTCAAACATGTTTAGTTATCATGCTTGTATAGACTGTATAGGGTCATCTTCTAGAGAGTACAACAGTTAGGTATATGTTTGTGTACTCTCTCTCTCTATTCATTAATTTCACTGTTTGATATGGTATCACGCGTAGGTAGGATCCCCCCCCCCCCCCCCCCCCCTCACGCTTCCGCTCGCCCCCTAGCTGGGCCCCGTCGTGCTCCTAGCCCCGTCGCGACCCTCCTTAGCCCCGTCGCGCCCCTTCCTGGGCCCTGTTGCGCCCCTTTCTGGGCCCCGTCGCGCTCCTCCCAGGCCTCGTAGCGCCCCTCCTGGGCCCCATTGCGCTCCTCCCAAGCCCCGTCGCGCCCCTTCCAGGGCTTCGTAGCGCCCCTCCAGGCCCCGTCGCGCCCCTTTCAGGGCTTCGTAGCGCCCCTCCAGGCCCCGTCGCGCCCCTTCCAGGGCCTGGTAGCGCCCCTCCAGGGCCCCGTCGCGCTCCTCCCAGGCCCCGTAGCGCCCCTCCTGGGCCCCATTGCGCTCCTTCCAGGCCCCGTCGCGCCCCTCCCTAGCCCAGTCGCGCTCCTCCCAGGCCCCGTAGCGCCCCTCCTGGGCCCCATTGCGCTCCCCCAAGGCCCCGTCGCGCCCCTACCTGGGCTTGGTAACGCCCCTCCAGGCCCCGTCGCGCCCCTACCCATCCCCGTCGCCCCTGCTCGGCCCCTCCGTCTGCTCGGCCTTCCGTCTCCTGACCCTGCGCCTGTTCCTCTCCTGCCGTCTCCCCCTCTTCCCGTCTACGGCCCCGTGTTCCCTCTGCCAGACTCGTCCCCGGCTCGTCTTCCCCCTCGTTCCCCTCCTGTGTCCCCTCCTCTGTCTCCTGACCCGACGCCGCCCTCACACGTCTGGTCTCGCCGCCCCTCTCGTGCTCGTCCTGTCTCACCTGTCCCGCGCTCTCACCCTATGTTGCTCCGTTCCCACGCGTCTCGACCTCCCCTCCTCCCGTCTCCTCCTCCGTCTTCTCTTGTCGTTGCGTCTCCTCCTCTGTCCGACTTCTTTCGTGCCGCTCGTCCTCTTGTTCCTCGGGTCCTTGCCTCTCTCGTTACCGACCCGTCTGTTCCCGTGTCGAGTCTTGACGCCCTCGTCGCTGCGGTCGCTGACTTCGCCTCTACCCGCCGCCTTGACTACGCCACCGCTCTGGTCTCTCACCCTGCCTGTCCTCCGTCTGTCGGGGGTGCTCCTGCCCTCGGCAGTGACGTCCTGGAGGACCGCCAGTTTGAGCTTGCTTTCCTGTCCGAGGCTGCTCCCCATCTCTGTTCCATGCTGCTAGTCCCTGAGGGTGACCCAGACGCTTTCGACATCCCGACCCCTCGTACTTACGCTGAGGCGGTTTCGGGACCCTGGGCCTCTCAGTGGATAGCTGCCATGGAGCAGGAGATGGCATCTTGGAGATCCACCGGCACCTTCGTCGACGCAGTTCCCCCACCTGGGGTGAACGTGGTCGATGGCCGTTGGCTCTTCAAGGTGAAGCGCCCTCCTGGAGAGCCGCCTGTGTTCAAGGCGCGCTACGTGGCTAGAGGCTTCAGTCAGCGCGAGGGGGTGGACTTCTTTCAGACCTTCGCTCCTACCCCGAAGATGACTACTCTTCGGGTGCTGCTACACGTAGCGGCTCAGCGTGACTACGAGCTTCACTCCCTCGACTTCTCCACTGCCTTTCTTCAGGGCAGCCTTCACGAGCAGGTCTACCTGCGTCGCCCTCAGGGCTTTACTGGCACCTTCCCCCCTGGGACCCAGTGGCTTCTGCGGCGGCCAGTCTACGGCCTGCGCCAGGCGCCTCGTGAGTGGCACGACACTTTGCGTGCTACCCTTGCTGACCTGCAGTTCTTTCCGTCCTCTGCAGACCCCTCGCTCTTCGTTCGTGCTGGCTCGACTCCGTTCTACATCCTCGTCTACGTAGACGACCTGGTCTTTGCCACTGCTGACAGGGACGCACTGGCCTCCGTGAAGGCAGAGCTGCTGAAGAGACACACCTGCACTGACCTTGGAGAGCTGCGCCGTTACCTTGGCTTGCAGATCTCCAGGGACAGAGCCGCGCGCACCATCACCCTGACTCAGTCACACTTGGTGCGCCAGGTCCTTCAGAGGTTCGGCCTTCAGTTCTCCTCCGCACAGCCCACCCCTCTTCCTCTGGACCACAGACTCTCCGCTCCAGTTCCTGAGGAGTCGGTAGATCCCAGTGGTCCTTACGCTGAGCTAGTGGGTTGCCTCATGTACCTGATGACTTGCACTCGCCCAGATCTCGCATACCCTCTCAGCATCCTGGCTCGTTTCGTGGCCACAGGCAGGCACCGACCTCAGCACTGGTCTGCCGCTAAGAGGGTTTTGCGTTATCTTGCAAGTACATCGGGCATGGGGTTAGTGCTAGGCGGACGCAGGCCAGTGGTCCTTACTGGACACACAGACGCTTCTTGGGCAGACGACGCCGAGACGCTCAGGTCTTCCCAGGGCTACTGCTTTAGCCTTGGTTCAGGTGCTGTCTCGTGGAGAGCTACCCGCTCTTCGTCTGTTGCCCAGTCCAGCTGTGAGGCCGAGATCTACGCCGGTGCCATGGCGGCACAGGAGCTCCGCTGGCTGACCTTCTTGCTCACTGACTTAGGTGAGCGGCCTAGCTCTGCCCCGGTCCTGTACGCTGACAACAGGGCCATGATCCTCCTGTGTCAGGAGCCTCGACTCGAGGGCAGAGCGAAGCACATCCAGCTGCGGTACTTCCTCCTGCGTGAGCTACAGCAGCGTCGCCAGGCTCGCGTAGTACACTTAGCCTCCGGTGCCAACACAGCTGATATCTTTACGAAGGCGCTTGCGCCTAAAGATCATCAGCGGCACTGTGTACAGCTTGGTCTGGTTCCTGTAGTCTCTCACTTACTCGGGCCTTGACTCTGTACTGTCCTATATATCTGTGTGTACACTCAGACTGGACTTGTGTCCTCTTACAGTGGTTGGACTAGTAGTGCCGCCCTGTACTAGTTCTTGCCTTGCCTGTACTCCTTCTGACTGGTCTTTTAGACCCTTGTCTCAGAGGCTGGACTAGTAGTGCCACCCTGAGCTGCTTGTCTAGAACATTCCCCTATGCAGTCCAGGGGGTGTGTCAAACATGTTTAGTTATCATGCTTGTATAGACTGTATAGGGTCATCTTCTAGAGAGTACAACAGTTAGGTATATGTTTGTGTACTCTCTCTCTCTATTCATTAATTTCACTGTTTGATAGTATTAGCGAGACTGAAGCAGGACTGGCGAAACAAAACGGGACTGACGAGGGCGCGTGTGACCAGACAGACTTGTCACTCTTACTGTTCCAGCAAGAAGGAACAGTAAACTACCAATGCCCCGATAAAGTAACTGTTTGTAAAGGTCAAAGTATTATGAAAAGCCCTTACAGTGTGACGACATTGTGAGAAAATGAAGTACATTACATCTCAAGAGTAGCAGAGAACTAAATTTCAAATATCAGACGTAGTTAAAAATTGAACGCGAGCTCATGTTATGGACAGCTAGGCAGCTAGAGCGCTTTTTCTAGCCAAGCAACGGGGATCTATTTACAATCTAGCACACCCTACAGCCATGTCTCATTCTGCCACAAACTCAGCTACTGTGGCGGGATGGAAGTAAGGAGTGTACTGGAAGCAGGGGGTAGGAGAAAAGAGGGAGGGGGGGTTGGACGTATGCAAAGAAGAACTCAGAGTGAGAAGGGCAGACGGGAGAGAGAGAGGGGGTGGAGGGGAGAGCATTGGGCAGAGGGGGAAAGCAAGGGTGATTGGAGGAGAGCACGAGCTAGGGGGTGAGAGCATGGGTGATCCCGCTTCCAGAGCCAGATCCCCCCCCCCCCCCCCCCCCCCAAACAGTTCCCTTCCATCCCCCCCTCCAGAGCCCTTCTAACCCCCCACCCCCCACCCCCCCCCCTCCTTCTTTCCAGCGTGACAAAAGCCCGTGGAGCATGGGTGGGGGAGAAAGCATGGAAGACACGAAAGGAGCAGGCGAGATGGGGACCAGGGCTTGGGGAAGGAAGGCATGGGGACGCTGCAATGGAGTGGGAGGGCAGATGAGTCACGGTGGGGCCGTGGAGAGTGAGTGCGGCGTGCGCTCCCTGCTGAGCCCTCCTTCCTCTCCCCCAGTGCCCTCCATCCCCCCTTCCGTGCCCTCATTCCCTCCTTTTAGTGCCCTTCTCCCGCTCGAAAGCCAGCCGCCAAACCAGCTGGGAAAAGGAAGGGCTAGGAGCGGGGTACAGGCAGGATAATTGCATGGATAGGAGCATGGGAGGGGGGAGTAAGCATGATTGAGGGGGAGTGAGCATGGGACCAGAGCAGGACTTCCCCCCCCAACCAGAGCTCACCTCCCCCCCTGTCTGAGCTCACCTTCCCCCTTGTCTGAGCTCACCTTCCCCCTTGTCTGAGCTCACCTTCCCCCCCTTGTCTGAACCGGGGATGACAAGAGCCCGCCTCGCACCACTGCCCTGTGAACCTTAATGCGCATCTGATGCCATGCCATCACGTGTAGTGCCATTCCATGCCACACCATGCCACACCATGCCACGCCGCGCCATGCCATGCCATGCCGCGCCGTGCCCAACCATGCCATCTCATGGATAAAAACACACATCAAACCATGACGGGGATATGCTAGGGGAAAAGCCGGGATGAGCGCAGCGGGAAGTAGGGAGTGGGACGCGCGAGCGGGGAGAGGGGAAAGCATTTTGCGGGCTGCGGGTAGCGCGCAGTGGCAGCAGCGGGAAGCGACGAACGGGCAGCGATGGGCGACGGCACCGGAAACGGGCAGCAGATGCCCTTCCAGGCCGGGAAAGCGTAGCAACTAGGAAGTGGTCGCGGTTAAGCAGCTGGGAAATGGGGGAGCTGGGATGCGGGAACGCGGGAAAGGGGGAAACCTGGGAGGCGGGAACACGGGGAAGCGGGGAAGCTGGGAGGCGGGAACGCGAGAAAGCGGGGAAGCTGGGAGGCGGGAACGCGAGAAAGCGGGGAAGCTGGGAGGCGGGAACGCAGGAAAGCAGGGAAGTTGGGACGCGGTCGGGAAGCGGGGGAGCTGGGAGGTGGGAACGCGGGAAAGTGGGGAAGCTGGGACGCGGGAATGCGGGAAAGTTGGGGAGTTTTGGAAGCGGGATAGCAGGGAAGCGGGAAAGCGGAGTTGCGAATGTGGGGACCAGGGTGAAGCCATAGGTCAGGGAGACGCGGGCTCCGTCTCTATAAGCACACACTATAAAATTGGCGGTTGGCGCTGTGTTTGGGGGCGTAAATGGCGGGGAAGGAGTTATGCCAAGTGAGTACAGAATAAGCACCAAGAAGCGTAGGATCTTGGTGGCAAGGAGAAGCTTTTCTGCCAGGCGAGCTAGCTGTGTCGCAGGGCTGTCGCTTGGCTGATCAGAAACCCCCCTCTATCAATTCCCCCACCCAGGTTATGAATAATAACTGAGTGCGCGGAATAATAATGACGAGTACAAGAAAGATAGCCTAGCATTATATAGCGAGTGCTCTAGCTAGGCGACGAAACCGGAGGGCTAGGTTGGGTACAGGCGCGGTCGAAAGGGTCGGAGGCGGCGCGGGCGTGCCTCGGGGTCGCGTCAGAAACGGACCGAGCCTGGTCTTCCGAGAGTTCGGGTGTACGCGATTGCAGTACCACCCGGTAAGGAATAAAATTCCTTACACTACCCCCCCTCCTAAGGAAGGTGATCAACATCGGGAACGCCTTTTCGGGTCAAATAAGATTTGAGCACCGAGTGTTCCGGAAGCGAGTCGGAAGTGACCCATGTGTCGTCTTCGCTTGTACGGTCAACCCAGCGGACAAGAAAATCCACGTGGCGACCAGTTGAGTCGAGGCGGACTCGATGACTCAAAAGCCGGAAAGGCTCAAGGGTCGGTTATGCCATCGGGCGGACACTTGGCGCGGTCGTTGGTCGGGCGACTGCAGACGTGCTGGCGACGTAGGGACGAAGCAGGCTGACGTGGAAGGCGTCGTGAATGCGCCACTCGTCCGGAAGTAATAATTTCGCCGTGACAGGTGTCACCATCTTGACAATACGAAAAGGTCCACAGAATCGCGGTCGAAGTTTTGAAGGCAGGGGCAGGCGAAGATTCTTCGTATCGAGAAGGACTAGTTGCCCTGCAGTCATGGTGATATCGCGGCGATGAAGGTCTGTATAGCGTCGGGCTGTTGTGTTGGACTTGCGAATGAATTCGATCGCTTTTTCTCTGGCATCCTGCAAACTGGTCACGAACTGCTGGGAACGTGGCACTGGATTGTCGATGTAGGCAGTCGTCGAGACTGTCGGATCCATGCCGTAGTTTAGAAAAAATGGCGAGTGATTAGTCGTAGCGGATGGGGCATTGTTGTATGAAAATTCCAGCATGGGCAGGAATTCTTCGCACCGGGCAGGGTCCGGGCAGTTGGTGCGTATTAGCTGCTCCATGGTTTGATTGGTTCGCTCTGTCTGTCCGTCGGTTTGAGGATGGTAGGCGGAGGAAAAACTGTAGGCGTGTGCCGTACTGGGCGCATGTTGTCAGAAACCCAGTCACTAACCACTGGGTTAAAAGGGCTTGTTGAATAGCGGGTAAGTGCGCCCATAGCCCCCCAGGCTCTGCACCTGTGGCCCTTCCCCGAGGATCTCAAGGGCAACCCCAGCGGGTCACTCAACACCCCCCCCCCGCTGGGATAGGTGGAAGACACGAGCGCCTCTGCAGCGCTGGCACCGGGAGTTGAACCCAAGACCTTTGGCTCTGATGTACCATGTCAGAAACCCAGTCACTAACCACTGGGTTAAAAGGGCTTGTTGAATAGCGGGTAAGTGCGCCCATAGCCCCCCAGGCTCTGCACCTGTGGCCCTTCCCCGAGGATCTCAAGGGCAACCCCAGCGGGTCACTCAACACATGTCTCATGCCAGAACTTGGACGTGAATTTTGGGTCGCGGTCGCTGATGATCGCTGAAGGTAGGCCGTGCAGACGAACAACGGTGGAGATGAAAAGCTTCGTTGTATCTTCGGCTGTGATTGTTGTGCGACAGGGTGTGAAATGTGCCATCTTCGTCAGGCGATCGACGACGACCAGGACGGCGTCGTTACCCGTGGCTGCGGCCGGAAGCCCCGTGACGAAGTCCATCGTCACATGTTGCCACGGTCGCTGGGGTGGCTCGAGCGGTTGCAACAGTCCAGCTGGCCGCCGTCGGGAAGATTTCATTCGTTGGCAGATCGGGCACGCGGATACGTATCTCTGCACATCAGACGCTGAATCAGGCCAATAATAAAAACGGTGAAGTAACTTCTGGGTTTTATCAACCCCAAAATGACCGGAGAGGTTAGAATCGTGGACTTCTTGAATGAGTAATTCGCTGAGGAGTCTATAGGCAGGAACGCGGATACGGTCAGTACCAGCTTTTAGGAAGTAGGGTCCTTTGGCTGTGGTGGCTTGTTGGTGGAGGTTGCGGGTGAAAAAGGGGTCTGTGGTATATCCGTGGGTAAATAGGCCAGTGAGCAGCGAGTTCGATTTTGCGACGATGATGGAGGCGATGTGGGTGGATGGTCTTGTGAGTGCGTCGGCGATGTTATTCGCCCCACGTTTGTACGTGATGGTGTAGTGGAAGTTGCTTTCAAGGAAGTCCAGCCAGCGAATTTGTTGTGGATTGAGGTTCGGCTGCGCGCGGAGGTACTGTAGAGATTTATGGTCTGTCCGTACTGTCACATCGGCTCCCATTACGTAGCATCGCCACACCTTGAATGCGTGCACGATGGCGAGCATTTCTTTATCGTGGACGGGGTAGTTGCGCTCGGCTGCCTGCAACTTCCTGGACTCGTACGCGATTGGTTGGAGTCCTTCGCCGAAATCTTCTAACAGTATCGCACCGATGGCGAAATCGCTAGCATCCGTCAAGACTCTGAACGGTCGAGATGGGTCGGCGATTCAGAGAACCGGGGGCAACGTCAGAAAATTTCGCAGTTCATCAAAAGCAGTCTGCTGTCTCTCCCCCCATTCAAACAAAGTGCCCTTTCGCAGTTCATCGAAAGCAGTCTGCTGTCTCTCCCCCCATTCAAACAATGTGCCCTTTCGCAGCAGGTCAGTTAACGGTCCGGTTATCCCTGTCATATTGGGGATAAACCGCCGGACGTAATTAACGAACCCAAGAAAACTCTGCAGCTCCGGTAAATTCGTTGGCGGCTTCCAGTCGCGAATCGTGGTGATTTTCTTCGGGTCGATTTTGATGTCGTCCCCTCCCATGACATGTCCCCAAAATTCCAGTTCGGATTTTAGGAACTCGCACTTGGAGCCCTTCGTGATGAGCCCGTTTTCTTGCAGCCGCCGGAAAACTTGCTCAAGGTCCTTGAGGTGCTGTTCCTGTGTCTCGCTGTAGATCAGAATGTTATCAAGATAGACGATGACACACTTGTCGAGTAGATCTCGGAATACGCCGTTCATGGTGAGTTGGAAAGTGGAGGGCACGTTCGTGAGGCCAAACGACATCACTGTGTACTCGTAGCTGCCATAGCGGGTTAGGAACGCCGTCTTGTGGCAGTCGTCAGCGAAGACTCGGATCTGATGGTAACCGCCGCATAAGTCGATTTTCAAGAAGAAGCGAGCTCCGCGAAGTTGATCGAGGAGATTGTCCGACGTGGGATTGGGTAGCGGGACTTGATCGTTCGCCGATTCAGCGCCCTGGGTGATCTTCAGGTTCGCTCCCGTTATTCGTCCGAGTGCGGTCGATAGCGTGTATCGGTACCACAACTTGGTGGGAACGTTGAAGTTCGGGCGACAAAGCCTCGTCAGTAGGGGGCTCGTCTGCTACTGACTTTTCCCATTTCCCGGCTTCTCCTTGTCGTTCTTCGTCTTCTTGGGCGCCGTCGGGCAGTACTTAGCTCAGTGACCTGGCTTGTCACATCGAAAACATAGCCCGTGAAATGTTTCATCGGGCGCTGACACGCCATTGATCGTGGGGCGGGGAGACTGTCCACGAAAATGACCAACATCCCTGTTGTTCTTTCTCGCCCACTGCTACAGTGCATCGGCTGCTGACGCCAACTGGACAGCTTCATCGAACGTCTTGGGACGGGACCGCTGCAATTCGTATTGAATATCAAAATGCAGCCCGCTAACGTATTTGTCCCGCCTTTCCGCTTCGCTGAGGTCGTCGACCTGATCCGCAAGTGCCGAGAACGACGCAGTGTAATCTTGAACAGTAGTCACCTGCCGCAAATTGCGCAGCTTCATGCGAGTGTCGTCTGAGGTGGATGAATGCTCAAAACGAGCTCGCAGAGCTGTGCCCCACTGTTTCCACGTGCGAATCGTGGTCGTACCGAATATTGTTTCTGCCTGTTGGTTTGAAGAGTCTGAAGTCCCGTCCTTCGCCTGCTTCACTCCTGCCGGAGTCCCTATCGCCAACTGTCGTCGCCACCAATCCAACGCCGGTCCTCGGAGCAGCGACACGGCATAATTAATGCGCGCGTCATCCGTGTGCACACTTGCTGCCGTGAAGAACAGCTCCATGCTGAAAAGCCACCCTTGCACCGTCGCCGCCTTGTCCGAAGGGTTGAACGGGGGCGGTGTTGCTGGCTTGAGTTTAATCTTTGTTACAGTCACAGTGCGCACGTCATCCTGCTCCAACTCCCGTGCGAGCTCGTCAAGGACGGTTTCGCTCGCTGCGTCGTCGGCACCTTGCTTGACGTCGTCTTCAGCGACTCCACGCGACTCCTGACACGCTTCACCACGCGTCAAGCGAAGCTGGATGTTCTCCGTCCGAAGTCTCACGACTTTACTGTTCAAACTCGCCATCTGGGCTTGCATTGCCTGCATTTGAGCCATGACCTCGTCTAGCTGGGCCTGGGACATGATGCGAATGCTACGCCTTTCGGGCAGGGGGAAGGCCGTGGTAAGAAACCATAGAGGGTGCAAACGCTATCGTAGTTGTGTAAGCTACTGTAACTCTAGCTCACGGACAACCGCTGTGCAGCCCCGCAGGGTTAACTACGCCTTGGAAATAAACTACCATGAGAAAGCGGGTGAACCAGGAAAGTAGCTCTGATACCAGATTTTATGAATAATAACTGAGAGTGCGCGGAATAATAATCACGAGTACAAGAAAGATAGCCTAGCATTACATAGCGAGTGCTCTAGCTAGGCGACGAACCCGGAGGGCTAGGTTGGGTACAGGCGCGGTCGAAAGGGTCGGAGGCGGCGCGGGCGTGCCTCGGGGTCGCGTCAAAAACGGACCGAGCCTGGTCTTCCGAGAGTTCGGGTGTACGCGATTGCAGTACCACCCGGTGAGGAATAATATTCCTTACACCCCCCCTCTCGCCCCAGCTGGGTTACCCAGTTTGTTCTGTGTAACATGCCCTCAATGTAAGGAATATTATTCCTCACCGGGTGGTACTGCAATCGCGTACACCCGAACTCTCGGAAGACCAGGCTCGGTCCGTTTTTGACGCGACCCCGAGGCACGCCCGCGCCGCCTCCGACCCTTTCGACCGCGCCCGTACCCAATCCTAGCCCTCTGGGTTCGTCGCCTAGCTAGAGCACTCGCTATGTAATGCTAGGCTATCTTTCTTGTACTCGTGATTATTATTCCGCGCACTCTCAGTTATTATCCATAAAATCTGGTATTAGAGCTACTTTCCTGGTTCACCCGCTTTCTCAGGGTAGTTTATTTCCAAGGCGTAGTTAACCCTGCGGGGCTGCACAGCGGTTGTCCGTGAGCTAGAGTTATTAGCTTACACAACTACGATAGCGTTTGCACCCTCTATGGTTTCTTACCACGGCCTTCCCCCTGCCCGAAAGGCGTAGCATTCGCATCATGTCCCAGGCCCAGCTAGACGAGGTCATGGCTCAAATGCAGGCAATGCAAGCCCAGATGGCGAGTTTGAACAGTGAAGGCGTGAGACTTCGGACGGAGAACATCCAGCTTCGCTTGACGCGTGGTGAAGCATGTCAGGAGTCGCGTGGAGTCGCTGAAGACGACGTCAAGCAAGGTGCCGACGACGCAGCGAGCGAAACCGTCCTTGACGAGCTCGCACGGGAGTTGGAGCAGGATGACGTGCGCACTGTGACTGTAACAAAGATTAAACTCAAGCCAGCAACACCGCCCCCGTTCAACCCTTCGGACAAGGCGGCGACGGTGCAAGGGTGGCTTTTCAGCATGGAGCTGTTCTTCACGGCAGCAAGTGTGCACACGGATGACGCGCGCATTAATTATGCCGTGTCGCTGCTCCGAGGACCGGCGTTGGATTGGTGGCGACGACAGTTGGCGATAGGGACTCCGGCAGGAGTGAAGCAGGCGAAGGACGGGACTTCAGACTCTTCAAACCAACAGGCAGAAACAATATTCGGTACGACCACGATTCGCACGTGGAAACAGTGGGGCACAGCTCTGCGAGCTCGTTTTGAGCATTCATCCGCCTCAGACGACACTCGCATGAAGCTGCGCAATTTGCGGCAGGTGACTACTGTTCAAGATTACACTGCGTCGTTCTCGGCACTTGCGGATCAGGTCGACGACCTCAGCGAAGCGGAAAGGCGGGACAAATACGTTAGCGGGCTGCATTTTGATATTCAATACGAATTGCAGCGGTCCCGTCCCAAGACGTTCGATGAAGCTGTCCAGTTGGCGTCAGCAGCCGATGCACTGTAGCAGTGGGCGAGAAAGAACAACAGGGATGTTGGTCATTTTCGTGGACAGTCTCCCCGCCCCACGATCAATGGCGTGTCAGCGCCCGATGAAACATTTCACGGGCTATGTTTTCGATGTGACAAGCCAGGTCACTGAGCT